TAGGACTGGAATGTTGTTGGGAAACCCCGAGAGAAACGGTGATATGATACCCCACAGTAACATCGATCTCATGCTGCTCCTCTGGGACTGGGCGGGATCAACCTTAACCTGGAGTTCATTAAGGATTTGTCGGTGTGGTCGCGGTCATACCACTAGACGACGTTTTGCATCTCTCCCTTCTTGGATGATTTATCTCATATTCGATGAAAAAAGTATAAAAACGATGTACATCTTTCCGCATCAAATGCCCTTAATAATAATTGCTCCCTTTACAGGGAGGTGGAATGTGGCGAATTAAACAATTGCTGAATCAACTCCATATTTCCAGATGGCCAATGCCAAAACGCCGGCCGTCGGTTGTGCAGTAGACCTTTGCCCTGACGGCGCTAACAGGGAATACTATCTCGTTCTCTGTTACTACCGCAGCCGTAAGCTGGTAACTATTTGAGAAGGTATTTGACGCAGTGACAGACGATTCGCTTCAGGCACGTCAGCATTGGCCAGCCTTTATACGAGAAGGGAAGAGGATGCATTCATTGTCCCCCTGGATACAGATGCGACAAAAGCACAATGCTTTGCAAAAAACGGGAAGCCCCTCTTGAAAAGCGTAAGTAACATGGCAACTGATATTCTTTCGCCGTCAAAAGAGATTCTCGCAAAAGCTTATTGAAGCACACTACAGGCAAAGCAAGAGAACAAGGTATGTATTAAGGCACGGGTCAGGATTGGGTGGCAGAACCAACCCTTTCTCTCTTGATGGGCGGGTGCGCAACCAAAGAATAAAGCCACACTCGTGACTCGGAAGCGCGCGGTTGATGGCGCCCCTGGCCCATCACCGCGCGCTTCCGAGGCACAGGTTGGGAAGAAAAAATATGGCTGTTATTTAAAAAAAGTATGATTCCTATTTTGCACACATCTCCATCTCACATAAACTCTAATATGCAGTCTTTCAGCCGCACCACAGTCCTGCGGAAACGGCAACAAAGTAATGACTCAAGAGGTTAGGCAAGCAGCTGTTGATGTACACAACAAGTTCAGGTGGGTTCAGTAGAAGTCGCGCCAATAAATAGCTGAGTAGACCAGATTCATCACAAGATGCCATGCAATTTTCTCGGATAAAATTGGAGGATTATTTTCTGCAAAACATGAAAACAAAATGTTGAAAATTCAGGAACATACTTGCCTCAGGAAACGTAAGAAGAGCGCCATACTTACCTCGATTTTCTGCCCCCAGCAGCAGACATGCTTGCAACGGTAATCACTTATCTTTCTTGGAAGATATTTAATAGTTAGGTATTCAAAACTTGATTTCAGACCTATAACTGCACACTTGAAAACGAAGCTCTTCAACGAGACCTGTGCAAGAGACTCCCACCTAGGATGACGTTCAGTCTGACAGGGCAGAATTATGATTACATCACAGCCACTCGATACATCACGAATGCAAGACATGCGATGATACTGTGAGATCGAAGCATTTTCAGCATGTCTTTAAATAGCTTGAGTAATGGCTACTTTCATGGCGGGGGACAATTGGTGGTATCGATACTTCTATAGTGCTGGAATGGAAGGAATCACACCTCGTCAACAGGACTTCCCAATAATTCCGTTTTTTGCGGTACGTTTTCGAAATTTCACTCTCTCGTACTATTATACATATGACGTGGCCACTGTTTTCAAACTGTTTTCAAAAAGGTTTCTGTGCATTTCAAGTGCAAATGAGCATCAACTACTTCAAGCTAAGAAAGAGATCACATTTAAAGACAAGCCCCGAGGTAAAATGGGTGTTTAAGAGGTTCAATAATGAGGGGACAAGAGCCTAAAAGATAATTAGAAGACCGGCATTCTACCTCAAAGGCACGAGAGGGGATTCAATTGATGCGTTATTTTGTTAAACATTAATCAAGGGGTGCAATGAGGAACATCTGAGGAGAATAACCAAACTAGGGAGAAGTGCAGTAAACAGAGCCATCTGCTGACGTTTACCGCTTGATTCATATATCACCAGGGATGGTCACGCTCTGGACTGCGCCTGGCCGCCT